AAGTGGACTCAATTTGCCCTATTTCTGGCAGTCTGCAAAGGCCCAAATTCTAACTGGCTTATTAAAGCAGAAATTTATTCCGTTTATAAATGCCTCATAAAATTAGTTCTGTAGACACTGTACAGAGTTCTAAGATTTATTTCAACAAATAAGAGAAATCCAGGACAACACAAATACTAAATTCCACCAAATTTGGCTGACTTGGAGAGATTTGTAGATGTGTCTGAATCACAACAGGGCTTTTGTAAAACAGACCAAATCCAAATTTGAAACCTCCCAAAATTTGGTTCACAATTCAGATTCGAAGAGACTAGACATGTTTAGTGAGTCTGCAAAAATTGATATGTTTCTCTCCAAGCTCTCCATATAAGGAAAATTCCAGAGAGGGAAAGGATGTAGTTCTGTGGCTAGAAGCTGTTGCTTCCAATCATTCTAGAGGATTTTATCAGGGCTCTCCAATTCCACTGCTTTGGGGAAGGGAGGTAGAAATAACATATTGCAGGACTATTTCTCTATTCACTGCTCTTTGGGAGTTCTCTCTCCCAGAAGGAGGAATATTAAAAGAGTTTCTATGGAGGCCATGGGACCTGGAAGAATATAATGCTGGGTGCTTGCTTTGTAATTGCTAGGGGAGTAAATTGAAAAATGGGTGGAATTCTGTTAAAGACATATACATGTATAACGCCATTCATGCTGGGCAAAAAAGTCACCATTGCACAATGGATATATTCTGCTGATAGAGATGAAAGTTGAGTAGCTCAGACAGCATTTCATCTGGGTCTTGTCTTAGCAATTTAAGCACTGTGCATTACATGTTGTGGTTGTGCAGCCCATATTTTCCATTCTGGTTGAGTTTTGTGTATTGTGCATTGTGAATGGCACCTAGTCATTAACACGTGTTTCACAATGCTGTCATTCTGCATGGAAGTTGTGTAGCACTCACATAATTTATCTTCACATGCGAGTATTTATACTAGGCTTGTTCTCAGCCTCAGGGGAAGGCAATGGCAAACCTCTGAACAAATCTTGCCAAGAAAATTGCATGATAGGTTCACCTTAGGGTGGCCATAAATCAGAAATGATTTGAAGGCACACAACAACAAGGGGATAACGGATTGAGACCAATGACTGCAACTGTATGCTTCAGGCCAATCATTCACCTCTGTCCTATTGTAATTTCTTTGGCTTTGGTGCTAGTTTGGCAAAAACAGGAATGAAAAATCTCAGTTGATTTTTTTCGTTAATCATAACTCCGTCCTCTCCACCTATCCTTCTGCAACTGTGTATGTTTCCTCTGCAGGGACATCTCCATCATGTTCATTCAAGTTTTCACCCCTCAAAATATAACTTATAACCAAGGGAAGGGGAATGTAAGGACACACAAATTCCAGAATTTCATATATCCGATTAGATTCATGCCCCAGCACCAACTCAATAGCTGCACTTAGTGTTATGATCATTTTAAAAAGAAGAGGGAGGGAGGGAGGGAATACAAAGCACTGGTCATGATACAGTCCCATGAAACAATTTATTTCAGTTGGAGAGTTAAGTACATGGGCTGAGGTTCTACATCATGGTCTACATTTTATAATTTTACAAATCCATAGCTACATTGCAGAAGCCGTGTTCCAAATGGCAAAGATGTACATCCGGGCACTTGCAACAGTTTCACAATGCATATCACATCCAAAATCCACAAACCGGTGTTATCTTTATTGGGCCAACCAAAATGCACAAAATACATGATGCAAGTTTTCAA